CTGGGTCCTTCTTCCTGATCTTCCTACTATTCTGGCCAGAGTACCTATCAGGTCATCAAATTCTGCTTACTTTAGATGTGGCCTACGATTCTGCTAACTGAGCTTTGTGCTGAAACTGACAAGCTTATGCCAGGCGCTCTGTACATCACTCAGCTCTTTGTCTACATGTGTTTTCCCCCATAGTAAAATGTCATTCCAGACTTTCTTTAGCAGCTGAAAGTGTGCTGTGGCTCACGCCTATAATCCCAGCACTTTGGGAGGCCACGGCAGGAGGATCACCTGAGATCAGGAGTTCAAGACCACCCTGGTGAAAACCCATATCTACAAAAAATACAAAACTTAGCTGGGCATGGTGGCGTGCACATATAACCCCAGCTACTAGGATGGCTGAGACAGGAAACAAGCTTGAACCCAGGAGGTGGAGGTTGCAGTGAGCTAAGATTGTACCCCTGAACTCCAGCCTGGGCAACAGAGCAAGACTCCATCATAAATAAATAAATAAGAATAGCAGGTTCCTGGTTGTGTAGCTTTGCTGCATATGGCAGAGAAAACCAGTAGCTTGGTAAGTCAAATTTTCTGTGTTGTTCTGGAGTCACTTCTGGAATCCCAGCCCTAGAGCTTGTGTCTCCAGCTTTTCTAATGATATTGTAAGTACTTTATTCCATACTTTAAAAGATTTTCTGTTTAAAATAGTGAAATTGTTTATGTTACGTGAAACTGAACCCAGTTTGAAATAGGCAAAATGGAAGAAGCAGCATCATGTCTCTGCCACTAGCAAGCTGTGGTGGCTTTCTTGGGTATGTCTGACAATAACTGGGTCATATTATTATTTCAGAACTCTGTTTCTTCGCTTATAAAATGGAAGGCAGTCCCGAGGCAGAACATGGAAATGGTAGCTAATTTATTTGGCCCACTAAGAGAAATTTCTCTCACTACTGTCTTCGGGGATCACCATGGAGTACAATACTGTAGTTGTTCATTTTCAGGTGATATAGCTGAAGTATCTCTAAATCAAGTTCATTTTGTTTTCCTCAGTCCATTGGTCACAAGGAGCTTCCCAGAAAGCCATAGGTGTGAATTAGGTGGGAGAAGAATCAGCTTAACAATAACTCACAACACTCACATGTATGTTTATTGCAGCACTATTTACAATAGCAAAGACATGGAACCAACCCAAATGCCCATCAATGATAGACCGTATGAAGGAAATGTGGTACATATACACCATGGAATACTATGCAGCCATAAAAAGGAATGAGATCATGTCCTTTGCAAGAACATGGATGAAGCTCAAAACCATCATCCTCATCTAACTAACACAGGAACAGAAAACCAAATACTACATGTTCTCACTCATAGTGGGAGTTAAACATTGAGAACACATGGACACAGAGAGGGGAACAACACACATCATGGCCTGTTGCGGGGTGAGGGGTGAGGGGAGGGAACTTACAGGAGGGGTCAATAGGTGCAGCAAACCATCATGGCACACGCATACCTATTTAACAAACCTGCACATTCTGCACATGTATTCTATTTGTTTTTCAGAAGAAATAAAGAGAAAAAAAAGAAATAGAAAAAAAGTGAGAAGAAAATTTAGTAGGAACAGGCATTATGGTCTTCTGGGACACTTGCTCATGCAACTTATTTGTGCCTTCAGGACCTACTTAAGCCTTATCTTGTATATATCATGTCTAATATAATATAATGCCATTGTGCATGCCCAGCTTTATGGTTTGATGGGTCAGAAACACCTAGAACAGTCTTAGGCTGCATGGCAACTTGACAGCGTATGACCAAATGGCCAAGTATTAAGTTTCTTGCTTTCTTTCTTTTTTTTTTTTTTTTTTCCTGATACAAAGTCTTGCTCTGTCATCCAGGCTGGAGTACAGTGGTGCGATCTAGGTTCACCACAACCTCTGCCTCCCAGATTCAAGCAATTATCTTGTCTCAACCTTCCTAGTAGCTGGGATTACAGATGCCCACCACCATGCCCAGACAATTTTTGTATTTTTAGTAGAGACGGGGTTTGGCCATGTTGTCCAGACTGGTCTCGAACTCCTGACCTCAGGTGATCCACCTGCCTCAGCCTCCCAAAGAGTCTTAAGTTTCTAATGAAGCTCAGTCACAAGCCAACAGCTGTTTCTCAAAAAAAAAAAATTTCTGGGAGGATGGCATATCTGTGCTTAAAATTCCGAGGTCTACCCAGTGATTCACCTACAGGGACTGAACAAAGGATCCATCCATCGTCTATATCTGCCACAGATACTTTGAGCCCCTTTAGATCTGCTGGGGTATACAGCCCAAGTGGTAAGGCAGATTCCATGGTAGCCTGGGCCTGTTTCAGATTCTTCTCTTATTCGGTGCCCCACTCAAAACTGGCAACTTTTTGGATTACTTGGTCAATATATTCAAGTAGCAGACCCAAATGAGGCATATGTTACCTTCACATCTAAAGAACCCCATTAAGTATTGAGGGGTTAACTAAGAAATTTAGTCACATGGGGCAACAATTTACCATTTACCTTAGGATGCATATATTGACATGCCCCAGACCACTGATCCTTTACAAAGGTTACTGATGTGACTTTTTGGTGACAAAGAAAAGAATTTTGAGGTGATACGTTTTCATGCATATGTTTTATATACGTGTTAGAACAGTTACTACTTCCTGCTTTCCTGGTTTAATCAACATGATATCATCAATGAAATGGACCAGCATGATGTCTGGTAGAACAGAGACGTGATCAAGATCCCTGTTGACTAGAATATGACATAAGGTGAGAAGATTGATATAATAACCCTGAGTATATTGCTGGCTCTACTAGCTGAAAACAAACTGCTTTTCATAATCTTAATAATAGATTAGAAAAGAAAAGAAAAAGAAAAAGAAATTCCAGATCAATAACTGCATACCAGGTGCCAAGGAATGTATTGTTTGGCTCAAGCAACAAAACTACATCTAGATCAATAGCTGTAGTTGGAGTCAGCATCTGATTAAATGTATGATAATTCATTCTCATTCTGCATTGTTTCTAAACCTATAAACAGATATGACTCCTAAAAAGTAAGTGAACAAGTGTGATTCATGAGACAGTAAAATAAATTCTAAAATAATCGTAATGTTTTGCCAACTTATATCTATAGAGGGAGAACATGTATGGGCACTGATTCCAAGGTTATCAGATCAGAAGCATAATGTTGGAACATGAAGAATTTATTGATTAGAGTAGACCAGGCCAAGATTCTTGATCCAATGTATTTGAGACACTAACAGTGGCTGGCTCTAATAGTTTGCTTTGTTAACTAAACCATCGACCTAAAGAAAGTATACATTAAGGAACTTGAAATGCCAGAGGAAGGCATCTAAAGGTTTGGGGAGCTTGGGATGTGAACGCGGTTTTATTATGTACAATCTTTGCACTTAGCCTCTATGTCCCCTAAGAAGTTCCAAAGATGCTTTCAACCCCAAAGCCAGAAATACATTTCTGAGGGAAATCCTACCATTCTTGAATAGTTGCATGGTGGCCATTCTCTGTGGGCAAGCATGACAGTGGAAACTCCTGCCATTTAATTGGGATCCCTGAATTTAGTCAGGATGATGGTATCCTGGAGTGGCAGCTGCTGATTCAAGTCAGACTTCAAATCACTTCTGTTTCCACAGGTTAAATAAGACTTAAGTAGGCTGTCCATCTATTTTTGTTCTGGGGACACCATGATCAACTAACTAATTCCAGAGAACTCTGTGGATCAAAACATCTGTTTACTGCTTTGACTCTGCTGTCCATCACAATAATCATGCCCACCTTGTCCTCTAGACTGAAGAGAGAAAAAAATTCATTTAAAAACAATGGTGGTTGCCAGATGCTAGACAGGAGTAAGTTTAACAGTGACTTAGGCAAAATTTATAGGATAAAGTGTCAAACAAATAATTTAGAAAATAAATTAAAAAGTTAGAAAAGAAAACAGTAATTACTCAGAACTAACACAATTTCAGTAAAAGTAATCTATGCTAAAGTGGTCTCATTTGTGCCTTCAGTGAATTTACCCAATCAGGAAAATAGTTATATATTCTATTATAGTATGAAGTTATTCATACATTTCATGTGAACAAACAGCGTGATAGAAGAAACCTGGATTTTATTAATAACAGTATAGTGGCAAATAAAGAACAACTCCATTCTAATTTGCACTGATTAATCTATACATGAACTGCCAAGACAAGTGTTGAATATAATATTTTAAAAGAAGTGTTAACCAAACAGAATAGTCTACAAGCAAGAGACAAGCTCGATAAGGACTCTGGATAATGCATCATATTTAAAAATGATTGTGGTCACTGGAGTTTTGTCTCTAAATACAAAATAGTGCAAAAATAAAATGACCACCTTTTAGGAGAGCACCTGCCTTTATTTGAAGTGTGAATATGTGAACTAGAAAATTAATTTATTTGGGATTCCTTCAAAGGAAGATCTAGCACCAAATCCATAAATTTCTAAGGAGAGAGGTTTGGGTGCAATGTCCAGAAAAACTTTCTACTTGCTGTTGCTCAGTGGAGGAATTAACTGCTTTAGAAAGCAAGGAGTTCTGGACTCTTGGAATGTTCACACAGAAGCTGATTTTCCATCTGCTGTGCATGTTTTGGTTGAGGGCATTCCTGCTACCTCAACCAAAGGAGGCTAAACTACATGACCTTTAAGATCCTTTCTAATCTCGGATTCCATGAAGAGTGAGCAGAGAATATTAAAGAAAGGAAAAGGAATTTCTGAGATGCATGGGGTAAGCACTGTGGGCAGGACACGACAGACAAGTTGGTGGTTCAGAAAAGTTGATCTCAACGCATCCATAATATATCATGATCTGTCATATCTACCGTAAAAACATAGGAGTTAATTAAACTGGGCTTGCAAATTCCATTTGGTGTCACTGAAAAGGGGACTGAGATGTTTACTAAGAACTTCTTAAAATTGAGTGTAAAATAGCACACGAGATACGAGATCTAGGTTGAGAAGCAGTCTCATAACTTTATTCCTCATATTTCACATTGGCTGCAGGCCTGCAATGAAATATGGCTCTCTTTTTTTGGTTTTGGGCTTTGAGGCTAAAGAGAGAGTTTAGCAGGGGATATCATAATTCCTTTTTGTGGATACAGAATTATCCTAAGCAGTTGCCAAAATCAGGTAGAATAAGGCAAGTATTGGTCAGCTCTCAGTAACTCCAAGGCCTCAAACAGAGTTTTTCCTTAGCTTCTGGGAAACTGGTATCTACAAGGAAATCAAGAGGCCTAGTCCCCTAACTGCTTTCGGAGCACGTTGTGGGAGGTGCAGACCAAAGGTGAGTTTACACATCAGTGACTAAAGTTTCCTGCCACTAAGCATAAGAAGTCACTCATGAGCAGCGTCCCTAAACCACAGCTACAGGATGTGGGCACAAGCCCTTGTATAATTGTTGGCCAAGAGCCAATGAGCATTCATCCCTGTGCAAATACCTTGGCTTTTTTATGTTGTTGTTAACCTTTGAAAACCACAGGCATTAGTCTCTCTCTTTCTTCCCCTTGGCACAAGTCATCTTCTTTTCTCCAACTTGGTCTCTTGTGTATAAAGAATTTCTGAGGAGCTTTTAAGCCTAAATTTAATACTTTTGCCCTCCCCCTCTCCTGCCCCACAAAATGCCAGCAGAGGTGAAGCTGCCTTACAAAATATCTGCTGGCTCTGCCAGCTTCCGCAGCTTTGTTTGGGCTTCTTTTTTTATCAGATAGGAAACCAGAGAGCTCTGTGAGTGTCCTTAGCCTTTAAGAAAATGATGGCAATTTCTGGAAATTCCTCCCAAACGACTGTGCCCTATTGTTTTCTCCCTTCAAAATTATCTCCACAACTATGATACATCAATTCAGATGTCAAGTCTTTCCCAGGGAATACAGATATTATATTGGAAAGAACAGTGGGCTAGGGATAGAAATTGGAAGATATAGTCTAATCTAATCTCAGTATTTCCAAAAAATCACCATCTTCTTTTTCAGAAATGTCTTTTTAGTTTCTAGGCCTTTGCTTCACCTTCTGTGAAATAAAAGCACTGAATTTACATGGTTTTTCTGCCTTCTTATCACCAGAACTCTATAAATTGGCTTCCTCAGGATGTTTCAACAAAGACTCAATAAAAAATGGACCTTAAGGCAAATGATTCAAAAGTAGCCAACTTATAAGTGAGCTTCTCTTTTCTGCCTTAGATGACCGTAAGATGACCAAAGGTCAGGCTTCCAAAGAGGCCAAATTGACCACCAAGGAGTGAGTCCTGGTGATTGTTTAAAACTCCTCCTGTTTTGTTAAAATATCTATCTCCTTTGAACTTTCTCACCCTCAGAACTGCCTACGATATATCAGAAGACAGTGAGACATTTGTCAATGGAGTTGTTCAAGCGGTTTCTGAAATAAAGCTTATCAGAGATTTTTCTAGTGGAAATTCCTGAATGAGATAAAGATCAAATAATGAAGACCTCCAACCATGACATTTTGGTTATGAAATGCTTTGTACTATACTTAACATATCTTGTGTCTACTCCTATCATCAATCAAACTCATGATGGCATTTGCTAAACTGTAGTGGCAAGTTCAAATGATAATCTGATAAAAACTCCAAGTGTACATATAGGTCCCCTGGGTTGTGGCTCCCTGTTGAGCTTAAAGACAAAGAGCCCACGTAAGGACACCAAGTGCAAAATGAGAAAACCATGATCAGTAGGTCCATGGTAATGAAGAAACAATTTCTGGAGGAAATTTAGTTCCCTTAGATGTTTTCCCACCTTTTCCTGCAAAAGTCACATCACTGTCTAGGCAAATACTCAAAACTTTCTGTTTAATAAAAGAATTTAACCTCATTTCATCGAATCCTCATGAAATAAGCAAAAGTAATATAATTGTCTCCATTTTGCAGAAGAAGACATTAAACCTTAGGAAAGTTAAGGATATTTTTCAGGGTCTCCCATGATTGATCCAACTCTTTCCTAAGGAAAAAATGGGTCTAATTAACTAAGTACTAGCAACAATTATTTGGAAAATGATAGGATCACTGGCCTTAAAAGATTATGTCAATCATTTCTCCAAATGGTATCACACAGCACTTCCTCTTACAATATCTACTTTATCTAGTCTTTCCTTGAACATACCAAGTGATGGTGGGCTCACTGTTTAAAGCAACCCATTCCATCATTGAAAATGTATAACTGTAAGAAATCTTTTCTTATACTGAACTGCTATCCAAATTCCTAAATCTTCTCACCCTCTGGTCATAATACTGCTTTCTAGATCCCCTTTTTCCATTAATGGGATATCCTATATATGACAGTTTTCACAAAATATGAAGGGAATTCATAAAGACCCTCATGTCATCTCTCAGTTCACTCCTTATGGAAAACAGCTTTGATTCCATTAAATGCTTATCCCATTGTTACAGACTGCCTCTCAGAACTAAGAAACATCTCCCTCCTGTCATCCTTTCTGAACTGTTTCCATTGATGATGGTGCACTGTGTCCTTTAGAAGGTCATTTGGGAACAGTCTGGCTTAGGTTACAAAGGGGACAAATGTGCAGAGAGAAGTCGATTGTCAGGCTGATCCTTAAATGGTAACTCAAAAGAATGTGTTGGACATTTCAGAGGCTTCTGCCAATAAATGCCACTATCTTGAGGCAAATGGGGATTTTCGGGCAGCAGTATTATAATAATTTGCCAATTATGCCTGCTTCAGAACCAGTGCCAAAACAATCCAACGACTTTTCATTCCACTACTGTTGACAGGACAGCTATGGATTTCAACATTTCCTTTTACAGTCTGAATAGAAGTTCCCCGCCTTGGGGACTATAACAATATTTGCCATCATGGGGGGAAGAAAAAGTGGGTGCTGTAAAGGCGGAAGAGAGGGAAATAAAAAAATATTAATGGAAGTAAACAAAGACAAAATAAAATGAGAGTTATTCAAGGTTTGGGGTTGAATGTCTGCATTAAATTGATGTTTATAAATATATCAGAGGACAAATCTTCTTTGAAAAGCAAGCTTTTCAACTTCACATAAAAGTCAAAAAAAAAGTTGGCTGGAATTTTCTACTTAAATATAAACCAAGATGTGTCAATTTTGAGTCTTGAGAAAGGCAAAAAGCTTATTGTAGTAATGTCTATGTAGTCAACATTCAAAGCTTTTTTTCCTAAATAAATTTAGATAAAATAAGATTCTGAAATAAAAAAGAAAAGAAACTTGAGAGATGCAAACATATGAGATAATTTCCTGGGTTGTTGAAAATTAGATCTAAGTCGGGAAAGAAAAAGATCTGCTATTAAGAAAATATATTTGAACAAAAGATGGCAAAAGTAAATGAGCTAGAAACCAAATGTAGGATAGATTGAAACAGTTAGCCTTGGAGTAGGGATTCCATTTAATAGGCTGTGGTAATAATTTGTTGAGCAGAATTAAAAACCTGACCTAATAATACAGCTATAAGCATGGAAAGGAAGAATAGATGAACAATTTTGATAAAAGAATGAGCTTCCCGTTTGACATTTGGGCATTGGAATACAATGCAGCCATATAGAGATGGGATTGTATATAGGATGTCATTGGCAAGGAATCTAGAGAAATCAAAATTGATGGACTTCAGGAATGGATAACTGGGACCATATAAATACCACAGAGAAATCCAGGATTTTGATGCTGCTCAATGTAAGAGGCCACTGGGACACTGATATTTAGATGATTAGCAGACAGAAATGCAAAACTGAATCTTGGAATAAATACTGGGAATGGGAATATACATTTGGAAGTCATCCTTATAAAGTGGTAGCTAAAATACTAGAGACAGTGAGACCCCCAATGAGAGAATAAATCAGGATAAGAGGGCTGAAGACCAAGACTTCAAAAAAAAAAAAAAAAAAAAAATGCCTACATTTAGAGAGCTTAAGCAACAGGACCTAAAGAGTCTTCTTTCCTAAGTTGATGATCAGGCACTCATTTGATAACAGTGCTTGATAGGCTCAGCAGAATTTATTTTCTAGTTTTAAGAAAATTTGGTTATTCTGTATGAGGTCTAAAGTGTGTATCTATCAGTCCAATCAAGCTTTTAAATTTTCAGAAATACTAAATATTCAAAATCATAAAGTATTACTTAAAAATAATTGGTTCAGTCTAAAAATAGGGTGGGCCAAAATGAAATTTTCAAGTGGCATATCTTTGGATGATATACTGATGGTACCAAAAAGACTCTCAAAAGCCTATACTCCCACGGGCGAGGGAATAGCCAAGTTTGTTGCGGTTTCCAATGAATGACATCAGCCCTGTGTAGGTCTCAATCAAAATGGGTTCGGTTAACACCATCAGTTTCTTTCTGCTTCCAGATCCAGTTGAATTCTTGTGGGCATTCTGGATAGCTGGAACAAGCTTAGACATGAACCCAGACAACTGAAGAAGAAAAAAAGAAGGCACAAAGTTAGTTACTGTAGATTAAGTTGAGAGATACTCACCTCCCCAGCCAGTCTTCACAGAAGTTGACTTCTGTCCTGGGGCTGCAGTTATTCTTACTTCTTAAACAGAAATGGTTAAATGTATCTCTATTAAGTTAATACAGTTAATAACTGTGCTTAACTCTATTAAGACTAACTTTCCTCAGGCCCAATTTTGCTTCTTAATGTCAGAAATAATATGTGATTTTTCAGTTTGTTTATCATCCATGTAAGTCTACCAAGTACCATGTTAGTTTTAGCTGATTTAAGATTTTGTTAGTATACAAATAATTTGCGTCTGTATTAGTACTGTAAACTAACTCTCTTTGTCACTGATATATGAAAGGGCATCTGAAATTACTTAAGAAATATCGATGAAGCGCCTACAACATGTTCCAGAGACATTTTAAGTTGAACAGACAGGCGAAAAAACCGGCTGTCACGGAGCTCACATTCTCGTGATTGCAGACAAAAAATGTTAATAAAAATTTGGAGGGTGATAAATTCTAGAAGGAAAATAAAATGTGGCAAAGGGATAAAAAGTAAGGAAAGTTAGAGTCACTTCACTTACTGTATTCAGGGCAAGTCTTTCTGGGAAGGTAAAACTTCAACTGAGACCCACATAATGAAAAAGAGCTAGCTATGGGAAGAAGAAATTCCAAGCAGAAAACACAGCACCTGCAAAAGCTGTAAGGGAGGCATGAATTTAGCTTCTTCAAGGGACACGGAAAAGACCTGTTAGACAGAAGTCTAGGGATCAAAGGAAAGATGTTGAAGCACTAGGCATGAAGAGTCTTCAGGGCCACATTAAGGGCTTTGGGTTGCTGTGATTTTAAGAAGGAGTTCAATGTTGTATAATGTTATTTTGAAAATAATAATAATCCTAGCTACTGTGTGGAGTCGAAAATAGAATGCTGTTAGGGCTAAGAATGGAAGCAGGAAGGCAAGATGAGTTTGGAATTCACTTTGGGAGTCCAGACAAGATATGATGGTGGCTTGGACAGCGTAGCAGTGGAGACCATCAGAACTGGTTAAATTAGGGATTTTGGGGGCAGTGGGGTCGAGCCAAAGAATTTGTTGGTGTGACTGAATTTAGGGATGAAGAGAAGAGAAGGATAAAAAATGACACCCAGATTTTTGGCCCGATCAACTGGGTAGATGGTGATGTTATTACTGAGTTGAGAAAGCCTAGGAGAGGTACAGATTGGAAATAGTAAGATACAGGGATGGAGGATTTTGTTGCAGACATGTGGTTTGAGTTATCTTACCAGGAATCCTCTTAGAGACTTTCAGTAGGAAACTGGATGTAGAATCTGGGACCATGAAAAAAAATCAGATAAAATGTCCATGTATGTAAATTTTTCATAATAATCGTCGCAGACCCAGAAGTCAAGAATGATATTCATAAAGGGAAGCTAATAGCCTAAACGCGATAGGTTATGGAACAGAGAGTAGGAATTAAATTCACGAAATTCTTACTGGATAAGATACTAGGCATTGTGGGCAAAGTAGAGGGGATCTGGTAGGTAAACTGAGGATCTAAATGTTACAGGGATCTGCCCAGTACCAAATAACTAGTAAATGATTGATCAAGGGCTTGGACTCAGGTTGTTCTCTGGGGGGTAGGGGCGGCGGTCACAAGGTGCTCAGTAGGGGAGCTTTCGAGCCAGAATGAGCCAGGAAAAGGAATTTCACAAGGTAATGTCATCAGTTAAGGCAGGAACAGGCCATTTTCACTTCTTTTGTGTTGGAATGTCATCAGTTAAGTCAGGAACTGGCCATCTGGATGTGTACGTGCAGGTCACAGGGGATACAATGGCTTAGCTTTGGCTCAAGGCCTGACACAGGTCTCCTGACTTAACTCCTGAAGTCCTCTCTTTATAACGTTGCTGTTATGAGCAGGATTATAAAATTCTAATATTTAGAAAATTTAGTTTTAAAATTCTGATATTTAGGGAAGAATTCTTGTTCCTCACTTGCAAAATGGAGACAATATTACATTCATTAATTTTTAAACCATGTTCTTTAGAACACTAGATCTCCTCATAGATTGGGTGACTACATATAATTTATCATCCAAATCTAAATTCTTTTGAAAAGAAAGGAAGTGCTATTGTGAATAATGTTGGGACAACAGGTACCTGAGGGTTTGAGGAGAGGATGTCAACAAAAAGTCAAAAGTCAAGCAGGTAACTTGTTTCAGTCTCTTCAATCACATCGGAGCTGCTCTATTTTTATCATCAGTTTTATATATTTGAGTTCCAAGTAAGATTTTATTTCCAAAAGGTTTCTTTTTAAATGAAAATCACTTGCCTAGGAAACTTTTGCTCTGTCAATCAATGATTTAATTCAAAAAGATCTATAGTGCCCACTCTCCAACAAATCTCTCAAAACCAGGCTTAAATCCTGTATCTTCCACAATGCCTTCCCACAGACTCAAGGGAAAAGTCAACCTTTTTTTCTCTTATGTTTTTCCTTTACCTATACCTCCACTCAAATCTCTCATCTGGTTTTCTATGCAGTAGAGTCACAAATGTGGCTGTCTGTACAGCTAAAACAACGTTTCTTCACCTTGGGACTATTGCTATTTTAGGCCAGACAATTTTTTGCTATGGGAGAGAATGTCTCCTGCATGTTAGGATGTTAATCAGCCTCCCTATCCTTCACCCACCAGATACCAGACAGGCTTCCACCCCAGATGTGACAACCAGTAATATCTCACTGGGACACTGGGACATTGTTAAATGTCCCCCATGGGCAAAATCACCCTGTCTTGAGAACCACTGAGCTAAAGGAAGTATAGGATCAGGCCGAGCTGGTCTTAAGTTGGAATGATGGTACTCACATAGCTGTGTGACTTCAGGCAAGTTATTCAACTTTGCTGAATTTTATAGTTCCTTTGCCATAAAATAAGAATATTAATAGCATCAAATTTATCAGGTAGTTGAAAAGATTAAGTGAAATAAAGGGTTTGTATACACGCTGTGAATAGAGGTGTGCACACACATGCACTTGTGTGCTCATATATTATATAAAGGATTAGGAAAGCAGAATGAGATGAGCCTGAAATTTGGAGTTATATTGCAAAGGCCATAAAGGAATCTTGTTGCCAGGAATCAATAAATAATAACTGCTTAATCATCACTGACATCATCCTCATCATCCTTATCAAACCATGATCTCTTAAAAATCAAAGTATAATTCATCTCAACAATTCTATTGCAACACTCTGGATCCCTTTTCATAGATCAGTAAACCTTGTCCAGTTGGATTAGTGAATGCTTCCTCAGGCTTCATCATAAACTTCATTTCTTGAGAATCCTCTGTGGAACTCAAAATCAAAGTGCTAGAAAGTAAAAGTTGGCACTATTTCATACTCAGTGGATTTGGCATTTCACTGGAGTCAGATGGACTTCATTTCCAGTCATTTCTAGGATCCCCTTCAAAGCCAGGGGAGGGGATGGTTACAGAGAGACAAGCAGGGTGACAAGCAGGGTGTCAAGCAGTGCACTGAAGGAGAGGCAGACAAAAGGCCAAGTCCCCAAGCTGGCTCTTGAGCATTTCAAGCACCTGAACTAAATCTATGTGACAGGAACGCTGTGTCATCTGATATGAATACCACCAGCCACATACTTTTCCCTAAAAGCTTTTATGCACCCACCTCTGGCTCTCTCTTTTATTTCAGTCCCAAATACAGAGGGTCAGATTTTAACAACTCCAGTTACACAGGGGTTGTGTGTTGGTTAGGATAAAGTATAGCAGTTACAGCAGTGTGCGTGGTGGGGGCAGGGGGAACGCGGTATTATTCTTGACTTTCCACCAATTATTTACCAGCTGAGTGCCTGGTCCACAGGTTTGCTTTAGGTGCTGCCTGCCAACACTTCATTGCCTAGAGTCTCAGTTTTCCTTATTACAACCATCACTTGCTTCCTGTTTACACTGGGTAAAGAGACCAGGTTTCATGCCTGTAGGCCCACATTCCTCAGTTGAGCTGGTTTTCCGAGCCTGCAGGCTACAGGTTTCAGCCTCCCTGTGTGTGGAAGGAAGTCTCCTGTCATAGAGGGCACACCCGTCCAATACCCAATACTTGAAATCACTTGAGAAGTCACACTGCTGGACAGACTGTATATATCATCCTTGCACATTTTTTCTGGAATTATACTTACAGAGACCCTGTGACTATAAATTCAAGTGTGTAGAGAGAAATAAGAAGAGGCAGTAGCTTCTTTTTTCTTACACGGGAGAGGTTTCTACCCAGCGTAATTTCCATCCTCATCCTATCCCATCCCCCAACCCTCCTCTCTGAACACATGCAATATGTGCACACACACAAGTGCACTTTAAACTTAGCTAAACTGAATTAGTCTTTATCGGAGAACATTATGTATACCTTTGTAATTTGCAGCTTTTAAACATGTTTCCTCTACTTAAAATGTCTTTTCCCACCTTCTTTGATGTTTAAATCACCCATACCTTGAGTTTCATATCAAATGTCATCAGACTTGTAACTTTTAGACTTATCTGTTCCCACTTTTGGGCTCCTATAACACCCTGTGAATCCCCCTATTTACAGTCTTAGCACTTTAAATTATAATTTGTGAAAGTCTTTCCTGCCTCCTCCCACTATGCCATAAGTATCTGTAGGGCAAAATCAGTTTTAGTCTTCTTGGTAATCCAGAACGTTTCCCATCATGCAATAGTCACTGCCAGGTAGGTACTCAATGAAGATTTGTTGAATTGATGTAAAAGGCAAACAAAGGGCTAAGAATATAAAGTTAAATTTGATTGCTAAAACATTGGTTCATTTGCATGATCCACTTGAAAAGATGGATAGAAATACAAGAAAAGAGTACAAAGGGTTGGTCTGTAGATCATTATGGTTACAGAGCACTCATAATGCGTTCACTGCTATTCATCAGTTCTGGGTTCAGTACTAGTCCTTCCCAGGAGTACTCTCTG